GGGTGTCCAAGCTCACAGGGCCCAGGGCATGACCCTAGAGAGACTGCTGCCTTGCTTCATCACCTTCTCTTGGCCTAAACAGCTTTGTCCCAAAGGCTCAAACTCCTTCTACCTGGGTCCAAGTGGAGCCGTCCCTGGGAAAGTTGCTTTAAGGGCAGTTGCGAAGCACTCCCAGGGAGTGTATGATGACCTGAATCCTGTCACTGTGCCAAGGCCCTGATTTAAAGAATTTCCAGGGAAATAATAAGAGAGAGTTTTAACATGAGGTGCACAGGAAATAAAGGAATAATAAGGGAAATTGTATCCAATACCTGCTCAAACCTGGAGCTGGGTTAGGAGTGCATCCATTTCTTCTGTTGGCCCTCACCATGATTGGGCCTGGCTGTACAGGGACTCAACTTTACTATTTCATAAATGAAGAAGGTGAGGCTCAGAAAGGTGAAAGGCTGAGTGATTAGCTCAAGGTCCTTCAGTTTTTTTGTTTTTTTTTTTTTTCTTTCTGAGACGGAATCTTGCTCTGTCACCCAGGCTAGAGTGCAGTGGTGCGATCTCGGCTCACTGCAAGCTCCGCCTCCCGGATTCATGCCATTCTCCTGCCTCAGCCTCCCGAGTAGCTGGGAATACAGGCACCTGCCACCACACTGGCTAATTTTTTGTATTTTTGGTAGAGACGGGGTTTCACTGTGTAAGCCAGGATGGTCTCGATCTCCTGACCTTGTGATCCGCCCGCCTCGGCCTCCCAAAGTGCTGGGATTACAGACGCGAGCCACCGCGCCCGGCCAAGTTCCCTCAGTTTTAAGGAATGGAGTTTGGGCTCCAGATGAGGGCTTGTCCCTTAGCCCTTCTCTCTGTAGAAAATTGACAATGGGCACTGGGCATGGCCAAGACAATGAAGTCAGATCTGCCCCTGAGGATGACCTGTAGCACAGCTACTGTGGCCTCCAGACTGAACACTGTCAGTCTCCTCTTGGGCTCAGAGGTCCAGGCCACCCCCTTGAGGCCTGGCTGAACTGCAGGAGGGATATGAGAAGAGGCCTTCTTTCTGCACTGGTAGGCCTGGGGAAGACTGAGTCCTCTTAATGTTAATTAACTGGTCACTTCTCTACTGCAGCCTCCAGTCAACTCACTGCAGAAAAATGCCCAATCCTGGCCAAAGAGGATTTTATCTTATTTCTCTCAATGGAAGCATCCCTGACCTCTACCCACTAGGTGACTATAGCCCCTCGCACCCAGTTGTGACAACCAAATAAATCTCCAGATTTTGCCAAACATCCCCTAGCCCCAGAGAGCAACAAGGAATAAAAGTAACTGAATATGAACTTCTTCTCTACACATACATTTCTATTCAGCAACTAGGGACAAAGATGACCCTAGATGTGTTACCTCTAGATCTGCGCTGCCCACAATGGTAGTCACGAAGACACGTACTTAGAGTACTTGAAAAGTGTCTGGTGCAACTGAGGAACTGAATTTTAAAATTTATTTTATTGAAGTGTTCTATGTGTAAAATACACACCAAATGTTAAAAAAATAGTACAAAAAAAGAATGTAAAATAGCTTTCATCTGTTGTTTTCTTTAATTCTGTTGCATATTATAATAATAATATTTTGGATATAGCAGATGATTGTGAACTTAAGATAGGCGGGCTTAAGATTCTTGGAGTTTACAATGCTGCTGAGAAAGTGATACCTATTCAGTAGAGACTGTACTTTAAGTACTGGTGCAAACATTCTGCTTTTCACTTTCAGTACAGTATTCCATAAATTACATGAGCTACTCAATACTTTAATATAAAATAGGCTTTGTGTTAGATGATTTCGCCTGACTTTAGGCTAATGTAATTGTTTTGAACATGGCACATTTAAAGTAGGCTAGGTTAAGCTATGATGTTCCACAGGTTAATTGTATTAAACGCATTTTCAACTTACAACATTTCCAACTTATGATACATTTATTGGGACATAACTCCATCATAAGTTGAGGAGCATCTGTATTAAGTTAAATACATTATATTATTAAAATTAACTTCACCTGTTTCTTTTTACTTTTCTCAAGTAACTAAGAAATTTAAAATTACATACAATATTCAAATTCTATTTCTATTAAACAGTATGGCTCTGGAGGTTTATAACGGAGGATGATTTTTGTCTCCATGGCACATTTGGGAATGTCTAGAGATGTATTTGGTTGTTACAATTGGGATTGACATGCTGCTGGCATCTAATAGGGAGAGGCAGGGATGCCGCTAAGCATCCTACAGTGCACAGGACAGCACCCCTAACTCTGCCCCCAACAAAGAACTATCCGGCCCCAGACATCAATGGTGCTGGGGTTGCACAATCTTGCCATAGAGCATGAATACCTTGAAGGATAAGCCAATAAATCCAGAAGAGCTAAAGAACTAATTGGAGCTAGATGGGCAAAGAAGTTAAAGCTCTTACTGCACTTAGTTCTCATGATTAACTATGACTGTGGTTATTAATATTTCAATTTCTCCAAATAAAGATAATTAAGTCTGGAAAAGAAAAATAACTTATCCAGGATCACCAGACCAGAAGGTGGCATTGCTGAGAGCTGAACTCAGCCTCCATTCACTCTGAATGCCGGCCTATCCCTGCTACATAATGTGGTCCTGCAGCTCTCTGAGTTGGTGTTGATATGAAAAGAGGCTGCCTGTGCTTAAAGTCTAATATCCCCATCATTCAGACCTAGGCAGTTATTATTTACATCAGCCATTATTGCTACCAGGGGATGAACATTAACAAAAACACCCTTTGAAAGGGATGGCACTCACAGGCACCTCGCCCATCAAATGAGGCTGAGAAACATGTGGAAATAAATGGATCACAATGAAATAAACCTGTCAGAGAAGGAACATTCAGACGCCTTAGAAGACAAGAAGTAAGAACAAAAGCACATGATATGGGATTCGCTCTGTTTAAAGAAAATATTATCTGACTGCTCAACTTGAATAGAGCCCAGAGAACAATGGCCCAGCAGAAACAGAGCAGCTCGCACACACTCTGGAGAAGTATTGTTTCTCTGTAAATTGGTGGTGTGCACAGTGGCGAGAGTCACTTTTCTCCCACTGTCGATCTGCACACTCCCACGTGTCCATCTGTAACTCCCACCTCCCTTTGGGAAGGGCCTCTGATAAGGTAGGGCTGGGGACTGATTTCAGTAAAGACCTACTATGTGCAGTGACCGCACACAACATTCCTAGCATTTTCTAATGGAATTTTTAATATAACTGCATGAAGCACATCTGATAATTAGTTTTGCAAGTGAAATAAGGCTATGCAACTTGCTTAAGGTAATCTAACAGGGAGTGGCTGAGATGAAATTCCTGTAATGTTTGCAGTGACACACTGGAGTACAGGTGTCCATGGCAGTACAAAGGCAGAGACAAAACTCGCCCATAGTGGACACTGTTTAGGCTCAGCCCCAATCTCCTTTACTGGGCTGGTGTGACTACTCTCCAGGTGCTGTGGGTGCTGGCAGCAAATGGCTCACAAATACCTCCCTTCCAAGAGAAGTACCATTAGGCAAAAGGGAACCACTTCCACAGGATGTAATGCATTCCCAAGGCAGCCCACAGCCAGTGGCTGACCAACACCATGGTACAAATATTGGCCCCCTTGCCTCAAGGTGAGACCAACTCTTTAGTACATTTCCTGCTCCATACCTCCCCTTTTCCCGGGGTTCAGGCAGATGCAGGTTTCCACATCCTCCCTTAGCTTTGTTCTCTGCCGTATCTCATCCTCCTCCCTTTCTTCTGAGAACACTCTGCAATGAATAATTTGCACAAGAATCTCCATCTCAGTCTCAGTGTCCAGGGAACTCAACCTAAGACATTCACTAGCAGTGATGTCTCTGAGTTTGGGAAAGGGGGTGGACAGGAGTGAACTGTGAAGGTACTGGATGCCCAGACTCATGTCATCACTGCCTGCTGCACCTTCTTTTCCACCATGATAAAATGACCATTCAGGCATTAGCAGACCAGAGGCCATTGTCTGGGCAAGGACTTTAAGAGAGGTGACAGTTAAAGGTTTGAAATCTCCAAGAAACTTCCCACGGATTAAAAAGGCACCCTGCAATAAAGAGGTCTCTAGGTTGGCTTGTCTTTTGAGTCCCACGATGGACGTCGACCTCTCACATGAGTGGCTCTGCGTCCTTTGAAGAATGGCACACATTCATGTGAAATGAGTTCCACCTACGGTGTACTTGAGGAAAGGGGCTGGTATTTACTTCAAACAAATATAGACTTTGGACTGGGCATACCCATAGCAGCTCCTTTGACATTTATTATCTTGTTTAGTCTCAGAGGCCTCTGCATGTGTACAGTCTACAATGTAAATGGTGCCTCATAAGGGGTAGGTGGGATTATTCCTATTTCACAGATAGGAAAAGTCGGGCTGATATGGTATGGGCAAATTGTCAGGACAAATGGCAGACCTGAGATCATAGTGAGAGCTTCTCATTTCCTAGGCACAGAATTGTTACGTCAACTTTTTCCCAAACTTATATCACAGCTCAGCTGTCACTTCCCCTGTGAAGCCCTCCCTTGGCTGCACATGAGTTTGTTTATTTTGAACACCATGTACCTTTCCTTTGTAACACCACTCAAAGTGGCAAATTTATTTGTGTAGGTTTTTGACCAATGGCTGTTTCATCTCCTGGAAAGGCATTGGAACATATCTTCTTTTGCTCTTCATTGTACATCTCAGTGCCTAGAACAGTGCCTGGCACCCAGGAGGTACTTAGTAAGCATTAGTAGAATGAGTGAATAGGTGAGTGGACAGATGAGTGTATGCACAGAGGGATGGATGGATGGTTGGATGAATGAATGAATGTGTGGGTTGATGGGTGAATGGGTGGAGGGGTGAGTGGGTGGGTGGGGTGGAGGGACTGCTGGTTCCTCTCTGGTGCACCTGGCTTGGAGGACCCACTAAGCATGGGCAACTCTCCCCTCCCACCCGCCCAGGGCTCTGGTGATCACCTGTGGTGAGGAGGCAGAGTGGAGTCCCCGGGGTCACCTGGGCGCTGCCCATTGGTGCTGACCACAAGGAAGCCAGTCCCCAGGCAGCATGCAGAAGAGAAGGAGAGAAAGAAACACACATGAAAACGTGCGGCACGGTGAACAAAACTGCAATTCTTGTGGCTCTGAAGAGCTCACACTAAATAGCAAAAGAACATCATGATTTAACAAAACAGGGCCTGAAATAGATTTTTAAAAAATGAAACAAAAATAAGAGGCACCACTTATCAAGCACCCACGACATGCCAGGTACTTTTCTGGGCGCCTCACATATAATGTTTCTAAGACTTAGAATAACCCAGAAAGGTCAGTATGATTATAAATAAATCTGTCATTTTTCCACCGAAACTACTTCTCCGTTAGACTTCCCTTTCTGCATAAATGGTGCCACCATCCACGTAGCTTCTCAGTCTAGACATATGGGAGCCCTCCTTTTTTCTGATGTCCCTCTTAGAATCAATCACAATGCTTTATTAATTCTACCCCAGAAAAGCTCTTGAAGCTGCTTCCTTCTCTTTAATTTCATTCTCACTTTGTTCAAGCCACCCTTGTGTTTCACATGGATTATTTAAGCAGCCTCCCATCTGGTCTTTCTGCCTCTGGTCTTGTTCCCCTTCAGTCTTAGTCTCCATCCTTCAGTTGAAATACATCAGCGCTGCCTCGTTGTCCGCAAGGTAAACTTCAAACCACTTCACCCAGCTCACAGGCCCTCCATGATGAATCTCCTGCCCACCCCTCTGGTCTTGTCTCTCTCCACTACCACTGCCCACCCTGTCCCAAGCACAATAAACAACTTTCCATTATCAACAGCTCCCCTTCCCCCACCTTCTTGTATGTAAGCCTTCCTTAGGTGAGTCACTTTGCATGGGATATACTCCCTCCTGCTTCTTCACCTGGCTGACAACTGCTCATCCATCAGGTGTCAGTTTAGAACCCGTTACCTCTAGGGAGTCTTTATTTAGTATGTCAGTGACTCTGGGACACATGCCCCTTCTTGTCTTCCCATAACACCCTCATCTTCCCTTCTTATTGCAATAACATCACTGTATTAGAAGTGGATGCCTTCTCTTAAATCTGTAGTCTCCCTGAAAGCAGACAAGGTGTTCCATTTATGAGTGTACTCATGTGGACTTGCATTGTGCCTGACACATAGTAGGTACTCAGTGAATATTTGTTGAATAAATGAATGAATTAATGAAGAAATGTTGAATCATAGAATCTGTAAAACTTGTTCAAGGTCGCAAACTGGTAGAGGTTGTATTCAAACCCTGGTTTGTCTGGCTTTAATGTTCCTGTCCTTTCAAATCCACCCCTCACCTCTCTAAAGAAAATCATACAAAAGGTTGAAAGGTGTTTTAGGCTTGTCCAGAGACTGCAGCTTTCTTCAGTGGTCCGTCAACAAAACTGCAGGAAGTTCTTATGCAAAATTGAGAGAGTAGAGTATTCCAGACCAACTGATAAACAGAAAATACATAATTTCAAAAATAACACAGATGGCAAACTTGATCAACAGCCATGAAATACTATAAAATTTAACCACCAGTAAATAGTTATCATAATACTTCTCCCTTAAAAAAATGAAAAGTTTTGATATTTTAAAAGCACAATGTAAGTCAGGGGTCAGCAAACTATGACCTGTGGGCCAAATCTGGGCCCCCACTCCCTGTTTTCTGTGCAGCCATGAGCTATAAATGCTTTTTACATTTTCCTAATGGTTGGGAAAAAATGGAAGAGGAGTAATATTTTGTGACACATGGAAATTATATAAAATGCAAATTTCAGTGTCCATAAACAAAGTTTTATTGGAACACAGCTGCACTCATTCTTATACATATTCTTATACGTATGGTTGCTTTGGAGCTACAATGACAAACTTTAGTAGCTGTGACAGAGACCATAAGGCCTGCAAAGCTGAAAATATTTACTATCTGTCCTTTTACAGAAGAGTTTGCTAACTCCTGTTCTAAGTAGCTATTTTTTAGTTTTTTTTTTTTTTTTAACCCCTATGCTCTGAGGTAGGCAAGACAAGGACTGTCACCCTCACATGCCGGTAAAAGAAATAGAAGCCTTGAGAGAAGAGATGACTTACATGTTCCCACTTGGTCCCCTTCAGCAGCCTCTTAGGTGCTCTCCCTTTCTGTAGTCTTCTCCTTGCCTTAGTCCTCCTTCTCTGATGCATTTTCTAAACTATAACTAGGGTGTCCTTCCCCAAAAAGGCAGTCTGCTTAAGTACCTCCAGAAGTTCCACTATCTAAAGACAATTCTTTTACATGCACATACACACACGTGCGCGCATGCACACACACACACACACACACACACACACACACACACACACACACACACAAGACGGGGCTACACAGAGTCCTGGGTGGCCCCTGATCATAGATTTGTGACAGTATTGTTCGCGCCACACTTGCACACGACATCAAGCTATCCATCCAGCGACACATCTATACACACATCCCTGCTGAGCGTGCGCGGGTCGAGCACAGCGTGTTGCCATAGAGAGGGGGCCCTGATCTATTCTACAAATACACTATCGGGTCCTCAGCGATACTACTGGGCCTGTCTTCTAGTGTCATATATTGCACTATGTGTTTCCCTTCTTTGCGCTTCATGGCCACAATTTTCACATATTCCCAGATGGACAGTCCGACTCTCTCTTGAAGCGTCTTTCTAGCTATGAGAATTTTGCATTACCATAGTCTCAACACATGTATATTGTGCTTTATCAGTAACTTGCTCTGGCTCACCTTATTATCGCTTACCACCATACATCGTAGAGTAGTTGTGTACTACGTTATCAAGCTGTGCAAGACACTTTAGCGAAGTCGACAATCTTATCGACATTTCTCGTATAACAGGAATAGTGGCCCTTAAGTCAATGATGATATCGTCACCTGTCTATCCATCTTTTTGGAACACACACAACAGAGATCACTTTTTCCCATCCATGTATTATGTTGGTCATGGACCTTTACCGCCCATTAGAGACTTGAGTTATGCCTCGTAATGTATTTTGGGTGTGTATTACGTGGGTTCTTTTTACAGATCTCGAGTGCCAGATCTGAGCGTACGATATTGTGTTGGACCTGTTTCATATTTAAGATCGCTAGGCCTATCATAGTACACTAAGTACTTGTTTGATACATTTACATTCAGTGAATATTTCTTACAGGTGAAGCTCAACTGTGAAGGTACACATAATAGATTTATTAACGTATGATATATTATCTATAGGTTTAGTATTTTTGAGAAGGGGTTTTCGAGTGAATGCCTGTCATTTTCCTTGCTTCTATGTCTTCCTGCAGCCTGCTATAGTGCGGCATTGCTGTATTCGGCTATGCAGAGCCGGTCCTCTTCTATCTGGTCTATACCCGTTCTATCTCTCCTGCCAGGGTTCTATAACATGATAATCTTTACGTGCTACATGCCTTTTCTTCCCTAATTGCTGTGAACAGAAGCATAGCTGAGGATTACGAGGCGATGACGCCACCATGTATGTGCGGCATATGTGCATAGATGTTATATTTTAGATAGGGACGACAGGGCTTGCCTTCTCGTCCGCAGTATGTCAGTACATGCGCGAGCGAGAGGTTGAGTCTAGTGCTGCGGTCCTCTGCGCGAGTAACATCTAGGCTATCTCAGTGCGAGCGCGACGAACCCGTGTTCTCGACTCTGCACTCTTGTGTCCAAAGTGTCCTCAGATTTTAAGCAATGGTGGTTCTGTATGCCACTGCACCTGGAGCCGAAGTGGTGTTATGACTCCATGTGGTTTATAGGTGGGGAAACAGAGACACGAGATGTAGTCTTAGTACTCTTTTCCTACTACGAATCAAACACCATGCCAACATCTAAAGATGATGTTTCAACCACTAGGGAATGTGGGATTAACATATGTAATACTAAAGTTGTACTCAATACAGTGCTTAACGAAAAGTAAGAATGAATACATGAAAGTCTGAATTGGTATATGTTTCACTCAAATAGCTGTGGTCAGTTGGGAAAAATTACATCTACATTTTAAAATTTAGTTTCTCCACTTGTACAAGTGGAGGGTAATAATTATCTCATGAAGTCATTTTGAGGATCAAACGGAAAAAGAGTTAAAGCCTTAGTTGGGTTGGTAAGCCTAGAGAGGTACCTCCCCACTCCACCCTCTGGGTCACAACCCATGCTGCAGAGCAGTAATGCTGAGCTCCCTGGGAGGAACAGAGGAAACAGCGGATAAGTGCAGAAGGGGGAAGAGATTTTTCCTAAGTTGGTAAAGCAGCATAAGTGGGGATGGATCATGGATCCTCCAGCAAAACACAAAAGGAGGTAGAAACAGAAAAAAGGTCCTATTACGTATATGGTTCTAGAGAATGCTCATGTTTACACAGTGTCTGGTCCAGTCTCTCTTTGGCACAGGAAAGAGTTCCAGTCCAACTTACAGTTGTGCCTGTATCATAGTGACTAACCTCATCAAGGCCATGGTAAGTGGAAGTGGTGTGAGTCATTTCAATGACTATTTAAGATCCAAGTTACCACTTCCATGCTTTCTCTTTCCCTGCTGAGGGTTGAGACCACATATTAAGTCTAGATGGCATAGCAACAAATATGCCTTGTGGTATTAAGCTCCTGGGAGTTGGGTATTAGCTTGTCATGCAAGCAAAGCCCTAGGCCTAGCCTGACTAAATCCGGTTGGAAGAAGAGATAATGAGGTCTCTTGCTTTCTCCTGTATCACCCCGTCCACCCTGACCACATCAGTTTACTTGGAGGATTCATTACCCTTCTCTCTTTACCTGTTCCAGGCCCTGTTCAGTGTGTGTGTGGTGTGTGTGTGTGGTGTGTGTGTGTGGTGTTTGTGTGTGTGTGTGTGGTTGTGGTGTGTG